CTATTGGATGCAAGCCATGAAGGAGGAGATGAGTTCTCTGCAGAAGAACCACACTTATGAGCTTGTTTCACTTCCAAAGGGCAAGAAGGCATTGAAGAACAAATTGGTGTATAAGTTAAAGAAAGATGGCAACGGTAAAATACTGCATCATAAAGCTCGCTTGGTGGTCAAAGGTTTTGGGTAAAAGAAGGGAATTGATTTTGATGAAATCTTCTCCCTAGTTGTGAAGATGACTGCCATTCGAGTAGCTCTAGGATTAGCAACTCGCTTGAATCTAGAGGTAGAACAGATGAATGTCAAAACTGCCTTTCTCCATGGTAATTTGGAAGATGAAATCTACATGGAGCAACCAGAAGGATTTAAAGTTAAAGGGAAACAGAATCTAGTCTGCAATTTGAAGAAGAGTCTCTATGGCCTAAAGCAAGCGCCGAGACAATGGTACAAGAAGTTTGATTCATTCATGGTGGATCACGAGTACACAAGAACGGTAGTAGACAAGTGTGTATATTTTCGAAGGTTTTCGGATAGAAATTTCATTATCCTACTGTTGTGTGTCGATGATATGCTGATCATCGGACAAGATATTGCTATGATCAATAAGTTGAAATAGGACTTGTCGCAGTATTTTGACATGAAGAATTTAGGCCCAGCACAGCAGATTTTGGGCATGAAGATTGTTCGTGACAGGAAAGCCAAGAAGATATAGCTGTCACAGGAGAAATATGTTAAACGGATGATTGAAAGGTTCAACATGAAATATGCCAAGCCAGTCAACACACCACTGGCCAACCATTTCATGGTGACAAAGTGTTCATGTCCCACGACAAGCTCTGAAAGGAAAGAAATGGAGGCAATCCCTTATTCTTCCGCAGTGAGGAGTTTGATGTATGCAATGGTGTGTACCCGGCCAGATATTGCTCACACAGTTGACGTTGTGAGCAAATTCCTCCCTAATCCAGGAAAGGAGCATTGGGAGGCAGTCAAATTGATTCTTTGGTACTTGAAGGGAACTTCAAAGATGTGTCTATGTTTTGAGGGAGCTGAACCAATTTTGGAGGGTTTTACAGATGCCGATATGGCTAATGATCTTGATGGTAGAAAGTCTACATCAGGATTTTTATTCACCTTTACAGGGGGAGCTGTTTCATGGCAGTCCAAACTACAAAAATGTGTTGCTTTATCTATAACAGAGGTAGAGTACATTGCTACCACAGATGCTGGAAAAAAAACGTTATGGTTAAAGCGGTTTCTCCAAGAATTTGGTCTACAACAGGAAGAGTACAAGGTACATTGTGATAGTCAGAGTGGAATTGATCTAAGCAAGAATTCCATGTACCATTCACGTACAAAGCACATTGATGTCCAGTATCATTGGATACGAGAAGTGATGGAAAAACAGTTGATGAAGCTAGTGAAGATTCACATGGACAAGAATCCTTCTGACATGATGACCAAGGTTGCCACCAGAGACAAACTAGAAGTTTGCAAGAATCTGACCGGGATAGACTTCAAGTAAGAAGTCAGTTATCTATATGGGCGTGAAGGGGAAGAATTGTTGACTCCATCTCACATGGAGGAGTAGTTGGAGGTTAGCTGGTTGGCTCTCCAAGACAATAAGGAAGAGGGAAGTTGGCAGTTGGCAACTAGGCAGCCCAATTACTTTTTCACTTGACTTTGTTCCCTCTCTTTTATGTATAAATAGAGGCTGAGAGGAAGAGAAGAAAAACACACAGACAGAGGCAACACAGAGTGTATAATCTGTGTGAGTTGTAATCTCCCTCTGAGAAAAAATTTGTAGTGGATATCTCTCCCATGGACTTAGGTTATTGCTGAACCATGTAAATCTCTTGTGTTATTGTGTGTGATTGATTTCTGGTATGCCTTGATCCTAATGATTCACAGCAAGGTATGGGATGAATGCATCAAATTCACTTGAGAGCTGTAATTCCAAGAAATACATCAAAGATCGATGATTCAACAAAAAACATATGAATATGGAGATAGATTTTGTGGTGGTATATACATACCTTGTCGATGATAGTAACAAGAACACCTCTAAGTCTGGCCTTGTCGGCATCATCAGAGTAACCTGGAGCAGCCATGAATTGAGATTCGTCATTGAAGAGCTTCTGGAAAGCTCGATCATTTCGTTGAAGTAATCGGTGATTCAGATTGTAGTCCATTTTATTCTTCAGAAGATTTGGAGTAAAAGGAAAACATTAAAGAACCCGACCCGCATCTGAGATTAGTATCCATTTCTTATCTGGAGGCATTTTTGGGTGGGTTTTCTTTCTATTGGTAATAATAGAAGTGTTTCTGTTAAAGATTGGTTACCAAAGTTTAAAATTGTTTTATATTTTTTACAACATACATTTTTTTTTAAATAATATATAACTTTCTAAAATTAGCTAAGTTAAATGAGTCATGTAGAGGTTATATTGAAATCGAATGATTTCAATCACCAAAAATAATAAAGAGAAACAAATTAAATATACATAATACAAAGATATATGCGTGTTGGCTTTTTGGCTTTCGAAGGTTATTATTATAATTGCGAGCGTGCCAGTAAGGATCAATCAGTCCTTACAGAAATTTAATTGCCAACCAATTATCAGACGATTGTGTATTAGTTCTCTCAGCCTCAATGAAGAGGACTTTTACTAGTGGCTTGATTTAGGAGAATTAAGCAAAATATCAATCAAATAAATAACAACTAAGTCTCCGTTTGGGAAGTGGGTTGGCTTTTTGGCTTTTTTGACTATTTTAACCTGGGGCTAAAAAGCCTGGTTTAGGAAGGACTTTTTGGCTTTTTTAACTTTTTGGCTTTTTGGTGAGGTGGCTTCATGTTAAATTACAAAACTGCCCTTCTACTATTTTTTGTGAAATGGATCTCATTGCCTCTTTTGTCCTCCACGTCAGATTAGCTATGAATGGACCGATTTTTTTTTTTTTTTTTTAAATGGTTTTTTCAAAGGGTTTTTTATTTTGATTTTCATTTTAATTTTAATTTTTTTTCATTTTATGTAAAATGATAAAAAGTGAGGTTTTATTTTATTATCCTGTATATTTTAATTTATTTATTTTTTTTGCAAATGGTTTTTTCATGTGTTTTGTACTTTAATTTTAATTTTTTTTTAAAAATAATAATAACAATACTAATTTTAATTTTAAATTATAATTATAATTTTAAAATAATAATAACAATTTTACTTTTAATTTGAATTTTAAAATAATAATACTGCTAATAATTTTAATTTTTAGTTTTATTTTATTGTCCTGTGTATTTTAATTTTTTTCATTTTATTTTCAAAAATGAGTTTTCATGTGTTATATTTATTTGTAAATTACGTGGCGAATGGTAAATTTAAGTTTTTATGTTTTTTTTTTATAAATATTTTTGAATGAGGCGTATTTTTGTCCTTATTTTTTTTTAATTTACGTTTTTGTCATTTTTTTATTTGTACAAATTAATTTTTTTTTATTTATTTGTAAATTACGTGGCAAATGGTAAAAATTTAAATAATTTAAATATTCAAAAAATTATTTTAACAAAAAAATTTAAATAATTTAAAATGTTAATATTTTAAATTTAAAAACAACTCTACACTCAAATCGTAACCAAACACATAAAATAAAACTCAATTAATAAATTATTTTTAAAACTCATAACCAAACACATAACTCGAAACTCCATACTACTTTCACACCTCTACACTCAAATCGTAACCAAATATATAACAAAAAAAATATTTAAAAATATTTTTATAAAATAGAGTTTGAATTTATTTTCATAAAATATTTTTATTTTTTTTTTTTTTGGGAAAAATTTTTTTTTGGGGTTTTTTTTTTTTTTTTTTTTTGTGCTGCCGCATGCCCCTCTTTCATGAGGGGTAGTTTCATAAATTTCCCTTAGCACTTCTTCTTGCCAAGCAACTGTGGCTTTTTTGTCCTTTAGTGGCTAAATAAGCCTCTTTTGTCATTTAGTGGCTAATTTAGCCTCCACCAACCTTCCCAAATGATGCCTAAAGCATTTCATTAGAATGAAAAAACTTACAATAATTCAAATTTAGCCTCATAGAAGGTTTACAGTGACAATCTATTTGAAACTACTCATATGAATGAAGTGCAGTGCAGTGCAGAATTTAAAGTACTGGAATGTAAAGAACAGGAATATAAAGAACAGGAAATGTAAAACTAAGTAAAGTAGAATAAGACTGATTTTTTGGATCTGAGTCTGGGGGTTTTTCTGGGGCCTTCTCTGCTATTTATACTACTCAAGGATGACCATCGAATTGTATTTCCAACCGTCGAACTGCTCCTCCATAATCGCTGATCATGTTGCCTCAAGATTAGCTCCATTACGCTATTATTTGCAGTTAGGCTTCCCTCCTAAATTTGAATTTTGAATGTGAGTAACCGCTAATGCCACATCACCTCGCATCTCTTTGTTGATCCACTGCTACTCAGATCTCATAATAACCAATACTAACTGCCACGTGTATGATCAGGATCGAAGACTTGAATAGTCTTCCTATATTACTCTTATTTTGCTACGCGTCAAATTATAATTGGCTTGTACAAAATATGTAGCCAACAATGTGGTTCTACAAAAGGAAGGAAAACAAATCTACTATGCATAATAAAGCATCATAGAGCTTTGAACTTCCCAACTCAATCACTTCATAATACTATCAGACTCTCACACTGAAACCCTAGCTGAATAATACAATAGATACTTCCCAACTTGGCCAAACAGGCTTAGCCCTCCACCTTCATAAAAAGTCTCTTATAGTAAATCTGAGTGTACAGTAAAGGTGTAAGGTACCTTACAACAATAGATTTCTTATTTTAATAAGATCGATAGGGATATGCTGACAATTACATAATAAATTCACTTCTCAACCAACAGACAGTTACTATTCAACTTAAAGACACTGAAAAAGATTAGAGAATATGAAAATCATACAAAATAAGCCATGAAATTCTTCATCATCGTGTAGTTTTTTTTAAACTGTCTCAATCACTTGTTCACAATAAGTTTGGCTCTAGCATGTCCAGCCTCAATCCGGAACTGATCTCCCAAACCAAAATGTGCCATCAGTAACCAAACAAAAGTAATAAGCTCCCCACCTTTGCTGAGCTGCTGTGCATGACCATTTGGTCTGATATGACTCGCAGCATAGGACAACAGTTCCACCCACACTTCACTCATTATCTTCCACCTGTTCTCAAATTTCAACTTGTTCAGATCCTTTGCAAGCATGCAAGCATCAAATAACAATGATTTGCTTCTGTCCCCCTTCACATTAATGGGTTTAACAACCGTATCTACCCCAAGTAGTGCATTACACACTTCTCTCCGTCTTGGCTCTAATTCTGATTGACTTCTACCTTGATTAGTGTGTGGTGCTTTATTGTAAGTGTAATCCAAAGGTCACAAATCTTTCATGACCATTTTCATGAAAAACTTTTCATGATACCTAGCATTACTGTATTGAATATTTCCTTTAAGGCCAATGAGGTACCCGATTGCCCCTTTTGAAAGAACTTTTTGGCTTCCGCACAAGTGTCCTGAAATCTGATTTGTCCTATACCCAATACTGCTGACATCATTGTGGGCCTCATGACCAGAAGATACAACATATATTCTGAGAGGATCATACAAATTTCAAGCTTATTTTTAGTCTCTTCATCGCAATTTGGGTCAGTCTCTCCAGTAAAATAGCAGAGTTCAGTATCAACATGCCACAGCAAAAGGCTTTCATCATATTCAGCTTCCTCACTCACACTCGCTAAGATTTCCTGGTGAGGACACAAGTGTTGCGAGAGAACCCAATTGCCCCTCGCTGAACATATCTCCTTGGCAATTTTTGAATCTTCCACTTCGAGAGCCTTGCCCTTCAGCAGCTGAAAAATGAATATTTTTAATTTATGCACCTTCTCTGCAGATTCGTATTCTTTGTATCGCATCTCATCAAGGAAATCTTTGAGCCCAATATGGTCAGCTGCCATGTCAATCCATTCGAACCGTTCGTTCAGGCAGTAATTTATCAAACCATACTGCGAGATAGATTTAGACAACCACCATTTTTTATCAAATGAAAGTCTTTTTCTGATCGCATAAACAAGTTCTATGGCCTTGGAACCCTTGAGCTTAAAGGAATTATCAAGCTTAGCTACAGTCCAGTCGGAGAAGATGAGCTTGACGTGTCCTATGAGGTCCAAGACAACAGCACCAACAAGCAGAGTGTAGGTGACAGCAATGTCAAACTGGTGGAATCCATGTTTATGAAATGATGCAAATAGGCAAAAGGAAACCACTATCAAAACAGAGCAAATGACGCGAAAAGAGTACCCTATCTTACTATGCACCACCACGCCCACCTTTGTGAAGAGCACATCATACATGAAATTGAGCTCCACCTCCATTACACTGAAAGCATCTTCCCCAATGCCTACGTCCACGGGAGAGTAACCGGTTATCACTATACCAATGAGGAGATTACAGAAAGATTACAATAGAGGAGGAGCTCACACTCTCCTCACTCAGCCACTCACCCGTCTCCCTCGCTCACACCGAGGGAGACGGTCTCTCCGCCTCACATCTCTCGCACTCTTTGGTTCACGATTTTCTTCCTCTCTTACTTACTCACACTTTGGCCTCTCCTCTCAACCTCCATTTATAGGTGAGGGAGTAGGTGGGAGAGCCTTTGGGTAGCCTCCATTCTTGACACTTGCCATGGTTGGTGGCCACCAAGCTTGACTTGGTTGGTTGCCTTCCATTGTTGACCAAGGTGTGTTCCCATGGAAGAGCATCACCTCCTTCACATGGGGTGAATTCAACAATCTTACTATGCACCACCACGCCCACCTTTGTGAAGAGCACATCATACATGAAATTGAGCTCCACCTCCATTACACTGAAAGCATCTTCCGGATGCCTTTTAAAAAAGAACTTTCGACTCTTATGGCGATCGTGGAAGCTAAACATGTTGTCAACAATTAGCCCCTTGAAAGTGTCAAAGAAATTGTACCCTTCTTGCACCACCTCAATCTCGTTGATGACTTGAGGCTGCGAGTTTTTCTCTTCATCTGTGGTCCTGGATCCTTTCTCGGGTTCTTTTGTAATTTCAATCCTAACTGGGACCTGGGCCTCTTTATTTGATGAGTATTCCTCCATGAGTTGAGCATAGTTTGGTCCAGGGTCGGGCTTTGGAAGCATAGAAGCCTTAAAATTACCCATGCAGGCCATATATAAAGCACGTGTGCGCTCAGCATACTTAATCAATCCAGCAAAAATCATGAGGACTGTTGGGATCCAAAGTTTATTAGGGATTGATTGCGAGAAGACATAAGCTACTGCAGTGAGCTGGATGAGAAGGCCAAGCAAGTGTCGAATCCAGAGCTCATTATCTTCAAGTGCGAAGGCGGTGATTGTATCCGGGTCACCAAGGTGAAGCAAAAGGAACGGAGCCCAAAAGGCAGCAAGGTCATCGTTTAAGGGATGCACATCACAGCCATTACCTTGGCCATTGGAGATGAGTCCAACAGCAAAGGCTGCAATCCAATCTGCAAGAAGATACGCCGCCCAGATCATCAAGATTACAATTCTTCTTCCCGTACGTTTTCGTGATGTTGCAAGGAAAATCAACACTATCTGAAAGAAGAGACTGACAAGAACAGTTACACGGAGATTCCATTCATCCCATGCTCTCTTTAATTTGTATGGAATATGCCAAGCCATGGTACTTTGCTCCTGTGACGTCTATCCTGATTAGTTGTATGGGGGAAAAAAATCTGCAGACTGTTCTATCACAATACATATAACCTGAAGTACTTAAGTAATGAAAGGCAAATTATGATTTGGAGAGAGAGAGAATCCTTTGTAGCTAACATGGGGTTACTGCTTGGAATTGGGAATATATAAATGCAAATGCATAAATGTATGGAACATAGTTTTTTTTTTTTTTGTTTGAATCGGTAAAAGTTAGCTGTTAGTTGTTAGTTGTTATTAGCATCTATGGGAATTAGTCTTCCCACCCTTTGCAACTAGGGAGAGTTGAACCCATGAGAAGAATACGTATTGTATCAGTTGAGAAGAAAGGAATACACGGTAATATAGATTGAAAATGCTCATAAATTAGGCTTTTTACTTTACAAGAAAATGAGCTGGTTTTAAATACGTATTGTATCTGTATTAACCGATATGAATCGAGGTTTTGGACTCTCGATATGATATCATATCGATACATCGGCTGATGCAGTATTATCGAATATTGTTCAACATATAATCGTATCATTGATACAATATTGTTATTTAGAACCATACTATTGATGTTGTTGCTTATGCCAACATCGGCAAGGCAAAGGTGACTAATTTTTTAAAATTACATTATTGTTGTGTTTGGATAGTAGATTTGTGAAGGAAAAAGAAAGTGAAAGATAAAAATAGAAAAAGAAAATGAAGTGGAGTAAGTGAATTACACAAATGATTCCTAAGGTACACTACCTATTTAATTTTGTTTTCTTAATGAGAAAAGTTAGGGATCATGAAATTTTTTTCATAAAAATGATCATGAAAGAGTTATAATCATTAGATATTATCTTGATTAGTGTGTGGTGCTTTATTCTAAGTGTAATCCAAGAGTTACAAAGCTTTCATAATTATTTTCATGAAAGGGTTTTCATGATACTTAGCATTGCTATTTCTTAATATTCAATTTGTATCAATTACATCCCTATATTTCATACATTGATTCAATGTAGTCCCATCCTTAACTGTTGTGTAAAAAACATATTTAATATGCTTACCTCAGTCTCACATTTAGCATGTGTGAAATTTAACAGGGGATGAGACTATATTGAATTAATTGTGCAATTTAAGGATGCAAATGAGACATTGACATTGGGGACCAAAATAAAATAAGTAATATACTTTAAACAGTCATGTTTGTGTAGTTTTACCCAGAAAAAGAAAATGAATAGATAATTGTATAAGTAAAATTTTAAAAAAAATATTTGGTTATCCATAAAATAAAATAAAAACGTACTCCTTTTGTCCCAAATTGTTACTCCATTCTCAGCATTAATGCCATTTAATTGATTCAATAAATAATATATTTTGATTAAAAAAAGTTTTTTTTTTTAACAAATTAAAAGATCTTACTTAGTTCTTATTGATAAATTCTTCAAAATCATTCAAAAATAAATAAATTAAACATATAAACAAAATTTTGAGATATCTTGAAATAGTAAAAATAGATCAACAATTTAAGAGAACAAAGAGTATTTTATTTGGTTATCCATAAAAATAAAAAAATAAAAAAAGAAGAAAAAATAAACAGCCGAAGAGTAAGAAATGCACAGGGAGGGATGGATTCAAGATTATCACAATGGTGCGAAAGTATATTTGGGGTGCAAATCCTTATCATTTTTAATTATTTTAAAATTTTTAATATAATATATAATATTTTTAAAATTTTAGAGATTGTTTGGATGTCTTAACTAAGTGTATATAATATTTTTAAAATTTTAGAGATTGTTTGGATGTCTTAACTAAGTGTAATTTTTGTCTTTTTAAACTAAAAAGTTGAGGAAAAAAATATGATTGTTTGGGTTAACTTTTTGACTTTTTATAAAAAAATGTGTATTAAAAAATTATATAAATTAGTGTATAGGAAAAAATTAGGATTGAAAGTTGTGCAGTGGTAATTTTTGACTTTTAATGAATAGTGATAACTTCTTAACTTTTTAAGTAATTTTTTGACTTTTTGACAACTTTTCCAAACCTGGCCTTAGTGTGCGGTCGCCCCATCTGCACTTCCATGCTTGTGCACAATCATATAACAGTTATCAAAACTGTAAAAAAAAAGATTGTAAAAAGTAATGCAAGAATTACACAATAAAACAGCAGAAAAGAAAGTTGTAGAACTAAGTAATGGCGGTAATAAATCCAAGTTTCTTGGAAAGTCTTAGGGTGAGTCAGATAGATTGACTCGGAATTTATGCATGAAAGGATCGGTGGCGTAGTTCAGCCGAGTTTTTTAGGTAACCCAATAATGCAAATTATGTATGTATGTGTGTGTGTGTGTATCTCAAATCACTCATTCATCATCAAGAAAGAGGGATACAAATGGAAATGGGAATCAAATTACCTTGTTCTGCTCTTCTTTCTCCTTCTCTGTCTCTCTCTCTCTCTCTCTCTCTCTCTTCTCTTTTTTCTCTCAGTCTCTCTCTGCTTTGTTGCTTTAGTGCATTCCTCTTGTAATCTCACACAGTTATATTCTGCTAGAAGTTAGTGCTAAAGAGAGAAAAAGAAAGGTCCTTGGCAATGGCAACTCAATGAAACCTTTTCGTCATTTCGTCATGTCTACGCACGTCAACGTGTTTACGCCATTTACTAATATAAGTGGTACTATTTAGCTTACTTTGTTTTCAATTTTTTAGAAAATACTTTTTAAAAAATTTTATATTTTCATTTTTCGTATTTTTTTGTTTTTACTAAATTTTTTTAATATTTTATGTAATTTTTTTATTTTTTAGTAGGGGTGGACGCGGGTCGGTTATGGCCACGAAACTTTCAATCCGCCATCTGTCCGCCAGATTGGCGGATTGGAGAAAATCAATTCGCATCCATCCGCCAATTCGGCGGATGTGAATTAAGCGGATTGGCGGTTTGGCGGATGGATGCAAATCGGGTTAGCGGTTTGAAATTTTATAAATTTTCAACATAGTGTGCACTTCCTCAAAAAAAAAAAAAAAAAAAAAATACTATAATTACTGCATGCATCATCCAAAGAAAGAAAGTTTGAAACTTTAGAATATCACAATCACTGCATGCATCATCCACATATTACAATCACAGCATGCCTCATCCACATAAAATATTACAATCTGTGGTTCTTAAAATATAAAAACAATTCAAATCACCAAAACCATAAACAGAGCAATAGTAGAGATTGTATGTCTCTGTATTGTTACATTTATATATGTTTTTTAAAACAAAACCAACCAGCATATGTTGTATTTTCTATTTATTACTTTTAGAGTTAGATTTAAAAACCAAAAAATATAGATAAATAATACATTTATTTTTTTCAATTCAAAAAATATATTCAAGTTGAAAACTTTTTTTCAACAGAGTATTTGAACTCTTTTTCAATTGAAAACACAAACAAAATATTTAAACAAATTGAAAACACAAAGTCTCATAAATTACTAAGGGTGCTCGCGGTTTGGCGGTTCGGTTGCGGCCAAAGGAACCTCAAATCCATCATCCGTCTGCCAAATTGGCGGATTGGAGAAAATCAATCCGCAACCATCCGCTTGTCATCACGGATCCATCCAAAATGCGGCGGATCAGTTCGGTTCGGTCGGTTTTGGCAGATCGATATATCCACTGCTCACCCCTACTTTTTATACACACCTAACATAAATACACCTAAAAATTAAAAAAAAAAAATTGTAAAAAAAATCTTTTAAAAATTCACTAAATACCAAAAATACGAAAAAAAATACAAGAATTCAGTACATTTTTTGTATTTTTATGTATTTATTAATTTTTTAAAATACTTTTTCACAAATTTTTTACTGTTTAGATACATCTAACTAAGATGCATCTAAAAAAGTAAAAAAAAAAATGTTTAAAATTTAAAAAATATTCACTAAAAACAAAAGAATACGAAAACCAAAAAACTCAATTTTTAATTCAGAAAACTCAAACCAAACACACTGATTAGCATCCATTAATTTTTTTATTATAATAATAATCTTAAATAAAATTATTTAAAAAGATATAAATAATTTTAAGATACCACATCTCATAATTAAGTCCACACATTTATTATATTATGAGTTAAAATTTATGAGAGCACCTATCTCCGTCACCACCCACCCATCTTTTTTAAATTTCACCTTCAAAATCTACCCACCCTCAAAACCTTAAAAATTCTTTTGCGGCAATATTTCACAATAACTATGGCAACTATTTAATTACCTACACTTCTCCAATAATGATAATGAATGAAAGTTTTTTCAGCAACTACAGCTCTATAAAACAAGAAGAGTATAACAATAAAAGTTCAAAGAAAATTCATAACTTTGACGGTCTTCGTAACTCAAAAGAAATTAGCTTTACAAGGATAAGTTTCTTAAAAAAAGGTAAAAATAAAAATTATTCATCATTTTTTCAAGACTGAACTCCCGAACATATAACCGAAATTTTGGAACACAGTCCCAAATATTGTTTATTTGTTCGGAAACAAGTAACCGAACAGTTATTTTCTCATGTTATGAACAAGTATATGGAGATAAAGTATTAATCAACTTCATGAGGTTTGTTATAGTTTTTGGGAGAGAGGCTTTTTAGGGTGTGGGGATGTGCATTCAATTGAATGGGTGGAATGTTTTTACAATAATAATTTTCATATTATTTGGGAGGAGAAAAAAAAATTTAAAAGTTTTAAAATTTATAAGTGGGTGTTCAAAATAATTAATGGAGTACTAATAGTAACATTCTTTAATAATAAAAAAAAAATCATAATTTTTTTACTAAAAAAAATTCCAGGTTTGGAACCTTCTAACAAAATAAATTTTAAGTTTTTAATTTTATCAATTGAAATTTTAATCTTTTAATTTGTTTTCAATTTGAACCATTAGCCTTTTTCTTTTTTCTTTTTTGTTGAGTAAAATCGACAAAAAAAAAATATTTTGATTATTAAACTCAATATAAATATACATAAAATGTCTAAAATATCATTTTTTTTATTGAGTTTAATGATTAAAATATATATTTTTCTATCGATTTTACTTAACGAAAATAGACAAATAATTTAGATTAAAAATAAATCAAAAATTTAGAATTTAAATTGATGAAATTAAAAGTCAAGATTTATTTTATTACCAGGGTCAAATCTTGTAATTTTTTTATAATTTTCCTTTTTTCCTATTTTTTATATATGTTTTTATAAATAAAAAAAAAAAAAAAAACTAATATTTAAAAAAATCACTTCACAAACAAATTCTTAATTTTTTTTTTTTAGGGACAAATTTTGCTTTCGTAATACGTGCACATATTCTTTGGAGATTAAATACTTTAACGCCCTATCATTGATATACTAAAATAAAACACATCACCAATTATTTAGGGAGTCTCTAAATTTACTTTAAAAAAAATTATTCAACGCCAAGAAAAATCAGTGGGACATGTAGAAGACTCAAAATCTCACAGATGATTATACGATCCATTTAGGACATGTGTACATTTATTTGTGGAAAAATGTTATAAGATTCAAATTTTTTATTAAATAAATTATTAAATGTCTCATCTGGGTGTAGAGTTTATAAAAGTATAGACCCCACCCCATGTGACCCTACATCCATGTGAGACATTTGATCATTTATTTAGAAAATTTGATATTCCTAACATTACTTTTTTATTTATGCGAGTATATTTTACCTGAGCATAGTGGTGATAACGGTGTGGCGATCCTAGACGTGTTTGGCATTGTTTCGTTTTTTGGTGTTTTTTATTTTTTTATTTTTTTTTTATTTTTTTAGTAACAAAAAAATAAATATTCTAAAATTATTGAACAACAATTTTGAAAGGAAAAAGAAAAAATACCAACTTGAAAACCCTAAGTTATTTTCTTATATTTTTTAAATTATTTTTACACAAAAATAAAGAGATGAAAATTCTGAGCCGGGTGTTTTTGAATTTGCTATCATTTTCATTTTTTGATTGTTGTTCTCAAAGACACCTTAATAAATTAAGGAAAATTTACCCATAAGTCCTAGTTTCTGAAAAGTTGAACCATTTAGTTTCTGAAAAGTTGAACCATTTAGTCCTAAAAGTTTTCTTATGTTCCATTTAGTCTCATTTGCACATCAATCTAATGTTCGAAACATTAATGTGATGTTCGAAATCTAATGTTCGAAACATTAATCTGATGTTTGAAACATTGTAATGGGACCTTTCAGTCTATAAAAAAAATTTTAGGACTAAACAGTATATAAGTTATTAATTTGGGATTTATTGGTGCATCCCCCATAAATTAAATATATATATATATATATATATATTAATTTGTATATCATTATTCTTTGCCATATTGTTTAGAAAGGAATATTAATATCTTTTTTTTTTACTTTTCTTTTCCACTTTATTATGTGGGGATATTAGGATTTTTAATCTTGCCTAGGGCACGTACTGACCAAGTGCGTATCAAAAGCTACCAATTTTTTTGTGCACTAAAAATAAATAATGATGTGGTTATTCTGACTGTGTAGTAAAATAAAACACATCACTAATTATTTAGGGAGTCTCTAAATTTACTCCAAAAAAAATTATTCAATGCTAAGAAAAGTCAGTAGGACATATAGAAGATTCAAAATCTTACAGATGATCATATGATCCATTTAGGACATGTGTACATTTATACAAGTAGATTTTATATGAGTATAGTGGTGATAATGATGTGATTAGACGTGTTTGGTATTGTTTCATTTTTTGGGTTTTTTTTTTCTTTTTTTAGTAAAAATAAATAAATTTTCTAAAATTATTTGACAAACTATTTTGAAAGAAAAAAACAAAATACTAGCCTGATATTTTCTTATGCTTTTTTAAATTATTTTTACACAAAAGTAAAGAGATATGAAAATACTGAGCTGGGTGTTTTTGAATTTGCTATCATTTTCATTTACAACAATGTTAGAGACTTCCAAAAAACACAGCCCCCAACTCATCTATGATTGTTTTAGGAAGGGGAAAAAAAAAAACATGATTGATCCACATCATTTTGGGAGTCATGGAGATCCCAACTTTAGGGGTCCTAAGCATTTTTGCCTCACTTATTGCTTCTTGTTCTCAAAGACACGCTAGTAAATTTTTTAAAAAAAATAAATCAATTTGTATATCATTATTCCTTGCCATATTGTTTAGAAAATAATATTAATATATTTTTTCTTTACTTTTCTTTTTCACTTTATTATGTAGAAGGGAATTTTACAATTCTTAATCTTGCCTAAAACGTACTAGCCACTAACCAATTTTTTGTGCACTACAAACAAATAATAAAGCAAAAATTATCATGAGAAATGAGATTAATATAGTGTGTTTAACTATAAAGCGATATATGCACATATGATTTTCATGTTCTGAAAATTATGATATCCTGCACATACACCGTGTTTATTGCGTAAATTTATATATAAACAAAAAAATTTGATGAAATTCAATGGATGATATATAGTTTTGTTGGGACCTAGCCAATGGCGATTATGTAGCATAGTTATCAAAATCATGATTCACATTACAGAATTGTACAATTTTAAATTATCCAATTGATGATTTAAATCAGTATATAATTGATAATATAACAAAATCAAAATGAAATCATAGTAGAATTGTAGTGAGAGCAACTCTGAATTTTGAAAACCTTGTTCTTTGCTCATTATAGTGATAATTTAGAAAATTATGATATGTTTGTGAACTTGAGTAAAATTACTCAATGACTATTTAAGTAAATTGTGTCGACAAATATGTAATCCTATCTTTAGTTAGTAAATATATACAGTACGAAAATTGCATTATGACATATTTATATTTTCTTTTTTCTTAATTAGTCAGAAAGGTACTACTCCAACCATAATTATACATTTTAGATGGGGATTTGGGAATTGAAAAAATACCATAAGAGAAATTGAAAAAAGTTAAAACAAAAACTACTTTTCTTTCATTTTGGATGGGGACTTGGAAATCAATCATCATAGTACATCCTCAAGAGGGGGAAAAAAAAACAGAGAAGCATCTGGAAATTCCCAGATGAATTTTTCCCCAGGCTACAAACAAATATTCAGATCTTAATTTCTTTAATTTTTACAAATGATCTCCGAATTGTGATCTAAAAATTAAACAATTCAAATCATCAAGATAGAACTCGTAGCAAGCTCCACAAGCCCAAATAACACGGTCCAATGTGCACTGGAGGCAATATGCACTCTTAAAAAGTACCAAAATGTAGGCCTATTTGGCAATGGTTCAAATAGTCACTTTTGACTAGTTGAACCAAAAATAATTTATCCGTTTGACAATATGGCTTGATCTTGATTTAGCTAACAAAAGGAAGAAAAAAATAAATAAATTTTTCACTCAATTTTTGAATAACAAAAAAATAATATCAACTTATTTTAATAACTATTCTTTCCTTAAAAATAAAAGGTATTTATCAAACGCTATCTAAAGGTGGGTAGTCATTAAACATGCAAAATGTCCAGGTTGTTAGGTAGTACAAGAACTCCAGTACAATGACCAAAAGTCTTTAAAGGAAGTAACACATGAAGATTGAAAAGATAGTACACAATAATACTATTCTATGTACTTCATAGCCTTATATCTATCTATCATATATGCAACAATGGGGAAGAGACAGAAGAAGACGATTGGGCACAAGTTGAGTGTGGGAAGAAATCACAAAAGAGAGAAGAAAGTATGCAAAAAGATCTTAAAAACATAATTGAGTGCAGCGTTGATGAATCATCCCATTTCACTTACAAAAAAATTGTGGTTTCATCCGCGCTGCACTCAATCATGTTTTTGGCTCTCTTCCAAACAGTTTCAATGTAGAGAACCAAATTGATCCAACAGGTTTCTTTTCTTTTCTGGCATTTTCAAATTGATGATGACTGTGTGTGTGTGCATAAACTGCTGCGCTGCACTCAATCATGTTTTTAGCTCTCTCCAAACAGTTTCAATGTGGAGAACCAAATTGATCCAACAGGTTTCTTTTCTTTTCTGGCACTTTCAAATTGATGATGACTCTGTGCGTGTGTGTGTGTAAACTGCTGCCCAACTTCTAGTATTATTAACTTCTGCAATTTTCCTAGTTTGACAAAATCATATCCCGAATTTAGGTTGTATCACTGCAACTTCTTAAAAAAGAAATTTCTACATCTTTTGCCCAAAATATTGGACGGTGCCTGCCTACCAACTATGAACTCAAAAACACAATTTTGACTCAATTAAGAATATCATTGAGTCAACTCAGTTTAACTCAAGCTTAGATCATAACTTGGGATAAAGCATTTTCTATTGTCCCAGAATGGCTTAAAAACACGTCAATTAAAAAAGGCTAGTAAGAGACATTACACAACTTGTAGCATTTCCCCTCAAGTTACATCGGGATATACATATATACACACTAATGATTTTCTGAACTATATAAGTCACTAGGTTCCTTTTGTGTGATTCATTTTTTCATTAACTCAGTCAACTCAGACCGAGTCACTTCAAGTTTATAAGCATTGTCCCACCATCCATAGAATCATAGAATTAGCATGTGTACAATGAGCCTATATAACAGATCATGTTCAAGTAAGGTTGTAACAATTAAGAAATAATGTATATGCATCTTTCAATTAAGAAACTGAAACGATACTAATTTGAAAATCAGGCTAATAAAGTCATTCAGGTAATGGCTCAAACCAGGACCAGGGTGTTGGAATATGCATGACAAAACCAAGAAAAAAAAAAGCAAACAAACTACAACAACGTGACAACAAATCTAAGAGAAAGATTGCCTGCCAACTATGAAGCATGGACACGGCAGATTTCATACCGTGGCAATGTCTGACACGGGGACACGCCAGGGACACGGGAACACGTCGGGGACACGTACGGGACACGCCAGGTGGCGTGTCCCTTTAATTTAATTATTTTTTTGCAGGGGACACGGTGGAGACACGGCGGAGACATGCGTGTCCACCAAATTTGGACACGCGTGTCCAAATCTGGACACAAAGAGCAAAAAAGAAGAGTAAAGGTCTTGAAACAAACCTGGACTTTGATCCAATCCAGTCGACTCGCCGGCGACCTCCATCCCCTTCGACTTTGACGATCCAGTCGCCCTTCGACTTCGACGAGCTCTCTCTCTCACCTTCTCTCCCTCGCGATCGCGATTGATCGCTTCTTCCTCTCTCTCTCTCTCTCTCTCTCAGTCGCGTCTTTATCTTCTTTAATCTGCTGGATTCATATATGTATATAATATATAACTATTATTATAATCTGCTGGATTCATATATATATATATATAATATAACTATTATTATTATATTATAATAATAACTGAAAGTATTATTATTATAATAGTTATAAAGGATGTCACCAGTTATTATTATATAACTATTATATTATATATACTTATACATATTAATAAAAATAAATAAACATGTATATAAAATAAAATAAAAAAATTAATTAAAACATATTACTTAAAAAATATAATAAATACATAAAATAATTAATATGTATTAAAATAAAAATATTTATAAAAAAATTAAAAAATCTGCCGTGTCCCCTGTCGTGTCTGTGTCCCTATTTTTTAAAAATTGACGTGTCCCGTGTCCGTGCTTCATAGCCTGCCAACCCTCGCCCAGCCACCATAAAAAGAAACCAACGTTTATTTCGTCTGTTGAATCCCTAAAATGTCTTGCTTTGTAAAATGTAATAATTACGCAAATGCAAACAAGATGTACATATAGGCATCTTGCCAGTGAAAGTAAAGAATAATAACAACAGAGCAGGTGTGAAAGAAAACAGATTTGAAACATTCCACTTTATGCCAGGACTATTATGTGTGTATCCTTATTTCTCGGGACTGTAATTTGTTTCTCTTTTGTTCAAAAATTTATGTCAAAATTGTGCGAGGAAAAAATGGAACAGACAGGCACCTTTTAAGGAGCCATGAGTCCTTCAATTGTGGAGAAGAAAGACTCCGCCCAGTCAGCTTTGAATAGCAAAGTTTGCAATGTGTGCATCACATCATACCCCGGATCAAGCTTTCGTTGCCAACCCTAGAAGAAAGAAAAAAGATGGACAAAGAAAAAGTATTTAGAGAGTGACTAAATTGGATGACATACTATTTATTAGAGCTAGCATATTGTTAAAGAACCTTTTTCCTCCGTCAAGCAGAACAATTAAATATAACAATAAAAACTACATAAAAATACTGAAGCTAAAAAATGATGCAATCAAATCATGGCTGGTAAAACAACTTCCATATTCTTCCAAAATATGGAAATTGTCACTTGCAACACATGAAGGAACTTACTCCAAGTCCAACAATCCTATTGGATAGATGAGATGGCCAGGAACACACCATCAAGAAGTAGAGGGTTTGAGTTCGAGTCTTCCCCTTGGGACCAACTAGGAATTCATCCTGTTAATTACTAGATAGATGTAGGATTGGGGACTACAGTCTACGTGTGCCAGGGATTAGTAGGGTGCTCTACGAGACCCAGACATTTTTGTTCGCCATGAAAACAGAGAAAAGGGAGGAAGGGAGGGAGAGAGGGAGGGGGGGCATGGGTTCTGGAGAAGAAAATCAAATAAATGCTATAGAAACAAGAGTCTAAGGATCCGAGTGCAATTTGAGAGATCAATAAAAATAAGTACCATCGATTATGAAAGAGAGAGATAACACTATATTATCATCTACTAGACTACTAGTTAATAGCCATGATAAATCACAACGAAAATTGGGGTAAGACTCAAACTATTGTTGACATCAAACCTACGAGTTACAAAACTAGTAGTAACAACGAGATAATCTAACAGAATGTTGATGACTCAATCAATCAGTACAGCGCACTGGAATATGAAATCCTTCTATCAAGTAGCATAGTAAGCAGAATATTAGTGGCATTAAGGGTGGCAGGAAAGCTAAGATACAATATGCAAGAAGCAGACAAAGAAAAACAAATGTTCAAAAATGAAATTTTCGTCTAAAAAGAATTTACAGACAGTAATGATGTCAAGTAAAATTTCACAGATATCCCCTTAAAATATTAGTTCTACAATTTATTCAAAAGGCCAAAACTGATACATTTAAGGAACGCCAGACAATACCTCTAGGACCAACATGGTTACCATCACAGTGCAGACATTACCATCGATGTTTACTCTATGACGCCGAACTTGCTCAAGCAATTGTTGCATGCACTCAGCAGGGTGAACAAAACCACCTTCTGCAGAACCCCAGTAGCTAAAAGTTTGTTCTACCTCCTGGGAAACCAGTAAAATCTCATTTTAAAAAAATAAATAAATGACTAAAAAAATATACAACTCCAAACACTGATTTTTTATTAATCAATTAAAGGGATAAGCAGGTTACTGGTTTATTCAGTGGGGGGGGACATAACAAGAACAAAGCCAAAGCTGATGTAGATGTAGTGCAGTGGCATGGCATCTCAAAGGGATAAGCGGGTTACTGGTTTGTTCTTACTGTTCATTATGAATGAAAGTAAAGAGGAACACTTGTACATAGGTATATTCATACATACATATACACAAAAACCATACGTTGAACGATTAAGCTGCTTAGTTTTAAGCTGGTAAAATGGCTTTAGATTAGGCATAATACACCTGAACCCACCTCAAGCACAAGCAAGCAACATAAAACATATATTGATGCTGTGACAGACAGTCAATGGTTAACAAACCCATTACGCACAATCAAAAGAAGCTCACCCAGATAACATAAAGCTTGATAAGATGTGTTGATTTTTGCTAACACTTCTAGTAAAATCACATATCTAGTACCTTGAATGGATGTTGCAAAACTGTCAGATTCTATAAAAGTATGTTGTTGCTATGAGCATAAGATCCAAAATAACATGTATTCTATACACGCTTTAAAATATATATATATATATAATAAAAAATAAAAAAAGAAGAGGAAGGTGGCTGGTTTTTTATAAACTATAAAGGTTATTTAGCATTAAATAAATAATCTGTAAAGGTCGAAGGTATCTGTCCACCATATAACTGCTTAGGAGGGAATAATGTGTTGTTCAGAATGTTTTTCTTTAGAGAAACTCTAAAACTGCACCTCCAACTTAACTAAGACAATATAATTTTGTGGGAAATCTAAAAATTGAAGTACATGCAACAGAATAGCTGCAGATAAAGTATAATAGGTGAACTAAGAATGAGCATCATTTTGTGTGAAGACAATATAGAAGACTTTCATGTTACCTCAATGAAAGCCTCTGGGTTTGGGCAGTCCTGTTGTTTAGATAATTTAAGTGTACACTCTGCAGCGGTGCGACCGTCTTGAAGCGCTACTGCCTTAAAAAACTCTAGTAAAGTGATTCGATCTTTCCTAGAAAGTTCAGCAGTCATGCCTACATCAAGGAAAATGACATGAGGCCTTGAATTAAATAGCTGTTTACTTGAAGCCTTACTCTCAGATGATCTGACAAGAATATTTCCTGGATGCATATCCGCATGAATAAAATTGTCCACCTGGAAAAATAAAATAAAATCTCAGATCAATTATTAAACTATTTTACTATGGAAAAAACTAATGAATCCATAGCGAGTCAATTTATTATTGACAGTGTTATAACAAGGATACAAATTAAACTATGCAAAAGAAATATTAAGATTAAGAAAGGTTGTATTAAGATAACTTCTTTTTTTTTTTGGATAAATAAGCAAACCATTTATTGAGAGAGCATCAAGACGATGCAAAGAATATAAAAACTAGTCAAAAGCTAGAAGCAACCCAACCAAAACTGCACGAAAACATCAAGGCAAAGAACAACGAAGACTGAAACTAAATCAAGTCCTCTACAAAATCAACAAAAGACAAAACGTTTGGGTCTACTGACAATGATAGCCACCTGTGCAACACAAGAAACAAACGCCGCTCCAACCAAACCCCAGTACGCATCTCCCATAAGAATACCCTCCTATTATGCTCCAACCAAACTAGCCACATAAGACACTGCCCAACCAATAACCATGCCTTCTGCCTTCTCTTTCCCACCCTCCCCCCAACCCAACTTTGTAACACTGGCCCCATTGTCCCCAGTTGAACCCAAGCCAAACCGAAGATAGAAACTATAAACATCCAAAGGCGTGAAGCCATCGAACAACAAAATAAGCAGATGGTCCACCGTCTTCGCAGCTCCACAACATAGACAATACCAATTCACCAAAATATGACCACGACGAATCAAGTTATTAATCATCAAAATATGACCTAACGCTGCTATCCACACAAAGAAGGCCACTTTGGACGGACAACCCACCACCCAAACACTCTTCCACGAGAATGGCACCCCAACCCCTCCCGCAAGCCTATAGAGAAAAGAATAAACAGAAAATACCCCTTTAAACTTTAGGCACTCCCACCTCATCGAATCCTCTCCCACCCCTCCAAACCGAAGACCGTATAGAAAACCCAACAAATCCAACAATTGCCCCTCTTCCCAATCCTGCAGCACCTCACGACGCAACCCAACATTCCACACCACCACCTGGCCTTGCACCTGGGAATAAGAAGCCACTGTTGCCTCCCGATCAAGCACAATACAAAAAATCAACGGGAACCTCACCTCCAATGGACCCTCGCCACACCACCAATCCTGCCAAAACCGAACTCGATCCCCCACCGCAACCCGAAAACATACTTTGTTCCAAAATTCCTCCCGGCCCAACCAAATACCCTTCCACAAACTACACCCACACGACTGTCGAACCTCCTCCGTACTCCAATCCCCCCTACCCAACCCATATTTAGCCCCTACCACCTTTCGCCACAACCTCTCCCTCTCTACCCCAAACCGCCATAACCACTTCCCCAAAAGAGCCAAATTAAACAAACTCCAAATCCCTAACCCCCCCCCCCCCCCAACTCCCGTCCTTAAGAGAACAAATCTAATTCCAAGCTACTAGATGATAATGGAAAGACTCAAACCTTCCACCCCATAAGAAATCCGTCTATAGCTTCTCCAACCTCTTTGCAACAGACACCGGAATGACATGAACTGACATAAAATAAGTCGGAATGCTCAAAAGGACACTCTTAATTATTGACTCGCCTCCCTTTCGATAGATATTGCTGCTTCCAACCTGCCAAACGACACTGCACCCTATCTACAACCCCATCTCACACCCCTATAGCCTTAAAAGAAGCACCCAAAGGTAACCCCAAACAAGCTGTGGGCAAAGCCACCATCTTGCATCCCAAAATAGCAGCCAAAATAGGTAAACATGCCACTTCACCAACCAGAATCATCTCTGACTTCCCCAAATTCACCCGTAGCCCCGAAACCGCCTCAAAACAGAGAAGAACACACCTCAAATAACCAACCTGACCATCCTCTGCTCCACAGAAAATAAGAGCATCATCCGCATAAAACAAGTGAGACACCACTAAACTCGGATACGGAGCTAGGCCCACCTCGAAGCCCGTCAACAAACCCCTCTAAACCGCATTAGATAACAACCGCCCCAAAGCCTCCATAATCAATATAAACAATAAAGGAGACAATGGGTCGCCCTGCCGCAAACCCCAATGAGTTGGGAAAAATCCTACTGGCGTCCCGTTCACTAGGATAGACATCCGAACCGTCGATATGCAAAACTGAATCCATTGCCTCCACAATGCCCCAAACCCCATTCTCTCCAACATATACATCAAAAACTGCCAGTTAACATTATCATACGCTATCTCCATTAGGGGTGGGCGCGGGTCGATTGCGGCCACGGAACCTCCAATCCGCCATCCGTCCGCCAGATTAGCGGATTGGAGAAAATCAATCCACATCCGTCCGCCAATCCGGCAGATATGGATTGAGCGGATTGGCGGTTTGGCGGATGGATGCGAATTGGTTTGGCGGTTTAAGATTTTATAAATTTTCAACATAATTCAACTTATGCACTTCCTCAAAAAAAAAAAAAAAAGTATTACAGTCAACGACTTAAAAAACTATTACAATCACTGTATGTCTCATCCAAAAAAAAGAAAGTTTGAAACTTTAGAATATCACAATCATTGCATGGCTCATCCATATATTACAATAACAGCATGATTCATCCACATAAAGTATTATAATCTGTGATTCTTAAAATATAATAACAATTCAAACCATCAAAACCATGAATAGGGCAGTAGTAGAGATTGTTTGTCTCTGTATTGTTACATCTATATATGTTTTTGAAAATAAAAACCAACCAGCATATATTATATTTTCTATTTATTATTTTTAGAGTTAAATTTAAAAACCAAAAAATATAGATAAGCAATACGTTTATTTTTTTCAATTCAAAAAATATATTCAAGTTGAAATTTTTTTTTCAACTGAATATTTAAACTCTTTTTCAATTGAAAACACAGAAAATATTTAAACAAATTGAAAACATGAAGTCTTATAAATTAATAGGGGTGTTCGCGGTTTGGCGGTTCGGTTGCGGCCAAAGGAATCTCAAATCTGCCATCCGTCCGCCAAATTGGCGGATTGGAGAAAATCAATCCGCAACCGTCCGCTCGTCATAACGCATCCGTCCAAAATGTGGCGGATCGGTTCGGTTCGGTTCGGTCGGTTTTGGCGGATCGGTATATCCGCTCACCCCTAATCTCAATATCTAACTTGCAAATAAGGCCAGCTTGCCCCTGCCGAATCCGCGAGTCAACACACTCATTTGCTACCAACACAGCATCCAAAATCTGACGGCCACCCACAAAAAGCATTCTAGGACTCTGACACCAACCCCTCTAAGACACTGCACAATCTGTTAGCCAAAACTTTCGCCAAAAGCTTGTATACACTCCCCAACGGGCTAATAGGACGAAAATCCCTAATGTCCTCCACTCCTCCTTTCTTTGGAATTAAAGTTATGAAAGTAGCATTAAGACTCCTCTCGAACTGCCCTGTCTGATAAAACTGAGCAAACAAAGCTAACACATCTGACTTGACCACTTCCCAGCACTGTTGGAAGAAAAGCATAGTAAAACTATTTGGACCTGGTGCCTTGTCCCCAGACATTTTCTGCAGGGCCCCTAAAACCTCTTCCTCTAAAAATGGCCTCTCCAGCATTTGCTGATCCCCCTCTGAAATAGCATCAAACCGAACACCGTCCAACCCCAGTCTCCAAGACGCATCTTCCCCTCGAAGCAGGTGCTGATAGAAACTCACTATGCCCTCCCGCACCTCTTCCTCCGATGATAACAACACACCGTTAACCCATATCGAACCAATCTGATTCACCCGACGATGAGCATTCGCCATACGATGAAAAAACTTCGTATTCCGATCCCCATCTTTCAACCACAAACATCTCAACCATTGGCAATAACTAACCTCCTCCATGTGAGCCACCTGACCAAACTCCTGCCTCACCCTTGCCTGGGCCACCAAATCCTCATCTGTGAAATTTTCTTGAACTTCCTTTTCATCTAAACCGTGCAGAACCGCCAAAAAAGTAATCTTTTGGGTTTCCAACTGACCAAACACTGCCTTTAGAAGCTTTAATTTCTTAGCCAACCTTCTACTGGGATCACCTATCACGTCATAACCGTCCCACTACGACTGAACTGCATCCACAAATCCTACAGCCTGTAACCACATATTCTCAACCGAAACAGTACCGGACCACTTCGAATCCCACCACTATCGAACAACACCGGCCAATGATTAGAAACAGGACGCTCCAATCTTTGCTGACCCACTCGAGAAAAGTGCTCGTCCCAATCTCCCAAAATCAAAAAAGATCAAGACACGACATCACCCGGCTGCCAAACCAAGTGAAGTTGTCTCCCTGCATCGGCAAATCAATCAACTCTAGGTCATCAATCAGCGAAAAGAAATCCCACATAGATCTCCCTGCGGGGCCCAAACCCAACTTCTCCTCCGAACAACGCACCATATTAAAATCCCTCCCTACACACCACGGAACCGACCAACAAAAAGCAATACTATGTAATTCTTCCCAAAAGAAAGGCCGTTCTGACGCCCTCACCGACCCATACACTCTCATAAACACCCAACGGAAGTCATTCCCAATACAGCGAAAAAGACATGACAACAAAAAACCACCCTCCTTCTCGTCCTCTTTTTCCACTACCCTCCGATCCCAACATACTGGAATTCCCCTTGACACCCCAACAGCTAGCAAGAATGTCCAATCCACAAACCTAGCCCCCCCCAACATCTCCCTAACCACTTGCCAATCTATATTTTCCATTTTGGTCTCCTGGAAACATACAACATCTGCCTTCACCTTCCACAATACCACCCGAACCGTCATCCTCTTGCCCCTATCATTCAATCCACACACATTCCAAGATAAGATTTTTAACCGCATGGCAACAATAGATGGCTAGCACACTCCTTCTTCATGGCCCTACCGCCGTCTTGTGACCCCACCTATCATAATTAACAGTGCACTGTAAGTTCCGCAACTCTCTAGCACCCTTTCCCTTTTGCCCAACAACCTGTAACTATTGCCCCACCGGATCAGTCCCTCTCCAAGATGCCTCTATGGCCGAAAACAACCTCATTGCTTCTTCTTCATGCCCAACAAATGAGACCCCAAGTAAGGAACTGACCTCCTTAATCTGCGGCAATACCCAAGCCGACACCTCTCCCAGACCTAGAGGGTCGTTGCCTTGAAAACCAGTTACCGGTGTCTCACTAACTGTCCCAACCTCTACGACAGTAGACTCCCCTATCTCCATTGCCAACGGTAGCAAAACTAGAGGTAGATTTTCACCCTCATCAGCCCATTGACCTACTGTCGCACCACCTTCTATCCCAATTCCATTGTCGACAGTATGGCGCAGCCCATCTCCCTCCTCAGAATCATCATCTGACCGCAAAATCAGCATCTGACTCACCTCACCCTTGCCCTCTATCGAGCTGGGAACGGACTGACCACGCGATGGCCTAGTCTCAGGACTATCACACTGCTCCATTGGTCGATGGCTCATCCCTGGCCGCCGATGTTCCTCCCCTGACGACGAAGACCCCACTGTTGACCGCGAGCCCACACTCCGATGTAATAGCTCAAAGACCCGATGCACAAGTGGATCCTCCTCGTAACCCGAATTCTGCAACGATAGGCCTTTTGGCAAAGGACCCAACCCATCCCCAAGAACCTGGGTTAAATTAAACTCTCCCAATTCACTCTGTGGGGCCCCGTTTAGGCAAATCGAAAAGGCCAAATTCTTCAGCCTCTGTAGAATTCACGGTTTGGGCCTGATTTGGTTCTGACTGGGCTATGTGGCCCACCTCTTGTTGGGTTTGGGGCCTCCAAGCCTGCCTAAGCCCATTCTCCTTTGGACCATGCCTCCGCTGATCCCCACCCCTGAAATCCCCAAATCGCTGAGGATGAGGATGAAATCCTAGCTGCCTCTCCAATCTCTGATGTTGATTTAGTCCCCAAAATCCTCGCCACTCCTTCTGCCCATGATTCACACCTTCCATAGCCGACCGAATCTTGACCCCAAAACCACCCGTCGACGGAGCAACCACCACCATCGACCCACTTTTCGATCAGATTGGAAGCATGTAACGCCACAAACCCTATCGGACCAAAATCTACGGCAGAATCCCACTGAAGAGACCACGAACCCGTATCCGAACACAGCCTAGCAATTCCATCGATTCGTCCACCAACACAAAGCCGCCACACCTATTATCGATCTTGCGATAAAGCATAGTTAATTCGAAGATGGATCAGAAGGCCCAAAATCTATATCCAGTTGCCTCTGGCCAAAGCTAGTGCCTTGCCATCAGCACAAAGCGAGTCAAGCGACCACCAACTAAGAAACAAATCACGGCCAGCTATTGTCCACCTCTAACGCATCACCGCCTCCGCCTCTTGCCTCGATTGAAAGACCAATAGGTAAAATTGGCCTCCAATTCCATGAACCTCCACTGCCCCCGATGATTTCCACCAGTGATGCACCCAGTTAACGACAGCCATAGTGTCCAAACCTCTATCCCCTCATGCCCCCACCCACCCCACAACTGCTCTATCCAATGTATGAAACCAACCCCCTTCAGTTCTTTCCTGAACCACAACTTCCTCCTCAGCTCCATCCCGATGCACTGCCGCAATTGACTTCGATGGCTCCTGTGAATCAACCACCCTCTATTGGCTTTTCTGTTGTTTGGTCCAACCATCCCCAAAGGCAAAACCTTCCATAACCAAAGCACAGCCCTCTCATCCACCACCAAAATCAGATTCTGGCACAAAAATCTGTTCTCTACGGCCACCCGTCATGGCCACAATCTAAAAAGAGGAACTACCGTCCCCTCTCGTGAAATCCACACCGCCACACTCCGACGCCCCCCAAGCAAACATCCCAAGTAAGCCATACGGCCTGGATCCTACGAGGCCCTTCGAAGCTTCTGGCAACACCACTCCACCTCATGCACGCATAGAACAATCGCTCTGCGAAGGCCCTGACCTCGCTCCACAGTCTCCAAACGTCGACGCCCAATCGAGTCTTCCCCCTCTTCTTCAAACCCAAAAGAACAGCCTCCTAAAAAGAGAATCCGCTGCTGAGGGACGGCCTTCTCCCCAGAGAGCATCAATACACGCTTTTTAGAGCCTCAATTATGGATGTGCAATATCTAATCATACCTACCTAGATGACATTAGTGTGATAAGGCGAAGAACTTGTATTGTCAATGTTAATTGGTTTGTCTTTGTAATCGTATTATTAAGATAACTTTTACTGAAGTCTGACCGTTAGTCGTGCATATTGTACACCACCACGTTCATGCAATCCTAACTCCTAAGCAACCAAATTCCTTCAAGTATTGACCTACATTGGATGACCATAATGACCAAGAATATAGAATTTTCACTTCCTGAGCAAGGGAACTTCATTGCTACTCTAAATCAATTGTTTTTATGTATTGCTCAAGATAGTCTTTTGAAAATTTTTACCATCTAACAATAAGTTCTGCATATAAATTTTAGTTTCATTCTTTCTTCACATATTTGGACAGAAAAATAGAAAATGTCAATCACAAATCAATGTTTCAGTAGGCATATTCCTCAGAGAGCTTAGCAAGTGAAACTTGTTTGTGATTGATGTATTCAAAGCAAGTCAATGGTGGAACATATTTGCTTGATTCAAGTAAATACACACTTAACAAAGCCAATTTCCACCAGTACAACAACAATGACAATATCATAATTTAACATAAGAAAAATGATAATATCACAATTTTTAACATAAGAACTCCAACAAAAACAAATGAAATCCTACCAGCAGCATCTTTAGGAGTGCATGAGTCCCAATGTGAGCGAGGGCACTTTTAATGCGCTCATGTCCTTCAAGCTCATCAACATAGTGTAGAATATTTTCACCATGTTCATATGTTTCTACTAAAACAGCAGGATGAACCAGGGGATACAAAGGTTTTGGAAATGAGGCATCCTTCCATCTGCGAAAATTGTAAATGAAACGACTCAAATTAGCTGCCTCCCTTGCAAGATCAACTTGAGACATCATAAAAACAGCAAACTGTTGTATGCTTTCATCCAGTCTCAACCATTTCAACGTGGGGATGAACTTTGAAACTTTTGCAACCAAATTAATTAATACAAAATCCCTTCGAATTGCTTCACCAACGCCAGGATGTCTAATCTTCACAGCAACAAGAATAGGCTTAATATGTTGTTCAGGATATCGGAATTTTAAGGTAGCTCGGTGAACTTGAGCAACACTTCCAGATGCTACAGGCTCCTCTTCAAATTTTTCAAAAATTTCATGCAACTTCCTGCCAAATGCCTTTTCAATCGTTATTTTTGTGTAGGCATAGCTATGTGCTGGTGCTTTCGTGTGAAGCTTTGCAAGCTCAGTACATAGATCTCTAGGGAAGAGATCTGGTCTGGTTGCTGCCCACTGACCCCATTTAATAAAAGCTGGACCTGCTTTTTCCAATGTAAGATGGACAACGTGAATCCATTTCTTTCTAAACTCAATGCCAAGGCGGTCCACAAAAGGAGCCATAACTACACAGGGTGAGAACAAAATTGCTAAATATATAGCTCTCAGAAACAATATTAAACCCTCTACAAGTGAGTACACAAATGAAGTCACGTAAACATGCCCATCTTGTGCATGCAAATGCAGAGCATTCCCTCTTGGGAAGTGTTCTGCCTCTGCCCATGTTCTTTTTGTCCAAACTAGCTCTCCAAGGACAAAAGCAAAAATACCAGGACCTACCACTTGTGAACGTGTTAATGCAATGCTCACTGCACAAGCAAGCCTACTTACTGGCGGTAGAACTGGTCCAGTATAGGAACAAATATGAGAAAGCCTTTTCCAGGCAATGTGAGCACGGTGTGATATAGTATTACTTGCTGAAAGGACATAGAAGTTTTTCGAACTAGTACTCCACAAGTTTTCCTTTGCTTTGCATAACTTAAATGAAGTAAATCCGTTATTAGCGAATTTATACAGCCAATACAATCTGCAAAGGGAGTAAGGGGGGCCGACCATAAATTTTGTCCCAGTATTGTTAATCCCTGAACAGCTGGTCTTGCGGCTTGGGAGAAGTGAATGTGCAAGCCTCCTAACATTCCCAAACGCCAAAACTCTGCATTTTTAATGTATCATATGTTATATCATGCAAATTATGGAATTTGAAAATACCAGTAAGTTTGTAACAATAAAGCAATGGCGATGGAGATATAACTTCATCGTTATGATAAAATTTTAAGAAATTATAGTGTCTTCCTGTTTAAAAGTATTGCAGTCATGTAACTCAAAGCCCACATGGTGTTTAGCAAATAAATCCTAGAAATTTTCTAGAAATGGTATATAAGTTTTCATTTTATGTGAAAAGTGGTAGCTTTATACTTGAACTGTGCTCCTGCACTAGGTGACCCAAACTTTGACCATAACACTGAGCAACAACCCTCAAATACATGACACCACAACTCACGAATATCTATCACAACCATCATGGCATTATACCAGGCAACCTCGAAAGCATAACTAACAACCTTTCCTAGATTCATTTTCCATTAACACAAACAAAAGCCATAATCAGATGCCTTTGTCACATGGCTAAGCATATTGACATTTCATGTAATTTTGTGAAGACATGCATTAATCTAAATGGACATAGATCACACAAATGGATTCACTGATAAAAAAAAAATTGGAGTATGTTCATAATTGCTATTCAGAATAACTTCTTGCCAAATGATGGTATATAATCTTATTTATTATAAACTTTTTAATAAGAGTTTAGTTTCTATCTTTTTTTCAAGAAATCAATCTTTATACTTGCTTTGCACTTTTCAGTTGGTAGGAGCTTTGCTTACAGTCGAGAGTGTTGTAAGCCAATCGACACACACTCCCTTCGAACCAATTTGATAAGGAATCTATCATACCCCTCATCTCCCAAGTGTCATAATAATTTCTTAACTTATACATGTGAAGGAGGAGGCAAATATCACTCTGTTTCAAATACCACCTTAAATTGAAAGCCTTTTCAAAATTAAAATTCAACAGACATCCAATGCACTCATAAAACTGATTCTCCCAATATTTCAATCAATGAAGAAAGCTAGCACAAGCAAGTCCTCATGACTACTATAAAAAAAAAAAATCAAAATCAAAATCAAAATCCAAACCCCAAAACATTACATCTACAATTACCCAACTGAGGTCGGTAATCAATACACGAATTGAAAATTTATCATAGAAAGGTTACAGACCTTGACATGGCGATAGATATCACGGTCGATCTGATCTACGATGTGAAGGTGGAGTACAAAACTTTCTTGCATTTTTAACAGAGAGGGCATGGATCATCGTTATCGCAATCGTATGGCGTGTCTCCAAAACCCTAGCCAGTCAGCAAACCTTGCCCGACGCATGGCCGGTGGTGGTGGTGGTGGCGGTGTCAGATGTTCCGGCGGGTGGGGTGGACGGTGGCGCCGCCGTATACGGTGGTTCACTACGGTCACTCTGGCCGTTGATGCAATGATGCTTGATGATAGGCCCTTCAGTTCTTCTTTTATAGTGACCCGTATTGGCTGTTTAGGTCGGATCTTTGTCTTTTTCTTCGGTTTGGGATCCGAAAACAGTCACCCGTTGGAGTTCTGGGGAAGAGGCTTTTGGTATTGGGTTCGGGTTGTATTTTGACTAGAGCTGTAGCCCAAGTCTTATAACCCTTGACTTCGGCCTCACTGGTTTACACGTGGACTTGAGCTTGTCGGCCCAGATAATGTAAAATATAAACGAAATATCTATATTTCCCCCTGCTTGGTCGGCCCAGATAATGTAAAATATAAACGAAATATCTATATTTCCCCCTGTTTGGTCGGCCCAGATAATGTAAAATATAAACGAAACATCTATATTTCCCCCTGTTTGGTCGGCCCAGATAATGTAAAATATAAACGAAAATGTAATGGAACATGAAATTTTTTTTTTAAATTTACTCCTTTTTTTTAGAGGGCCTTTTTAAAAAATTGAATATATAGTGTAGATTTAAAATTAGTAGGATGAAATTTTTTTTGTGTGTATGTGAATGAATTTTTTGTGTTTTAGCATCGAAAGGCTAAAAAAATGCCATTCTATTTTATTTTACATTTATTTCAATGAACCAAAGATTTCATATTGTTGATATTTTTGTTTGTTTATTTTTCTCAAAAAAAAAATCGAAGTAACAAGTTGAAGTCGGTGGACCCGTAGTTGACCTCCTTTACCTATAAAAAATCAGGGTAATAAAAAAATTAAAACTTAAAATGAAACCACGGTAAATGTCCGTATTGTGTTTAGAAAAGGGAGTCTCCACACAGTGTATTGGAGTATGTTGTTGAGCTTCTAGAGTTTATTACGGGTTTTGTTTTAATAATTCGAATTATTCAATGTGAAGAGTTCGTTAAGTACTTCATGCTTGTAAAAAATCATATTGATCGGAATCGATACGGTAGCTGCCTGATCGGAACACAATTTTGTTAATAATTTACTTTTAAAATCATATTTACCATTGGCAAAAATGTGTTTCAATTAAGAAGCTACCGATATTTGATTAATGTGATTGTTTGCAAGCATGAAGTAGTCAATGAACTCTATATATTGAACGGCTCAAATTATCGAAATGGGACTCGTGGTGAATCACACGGACCAAACAATACACTTCAGTCCACTCTGTAGACTAGAGAAAAGCCTCTTCCTTAAAAAATGTAGGTTATGTTTAGTTTTGTATTTGTGAAATAATTTTAAAAAATAATTTTTTAAAACGAGTTTATAAAATTTGAAAATTTGTTTGATTGTATGTTTTAAAAATAATTTTGGAGTTTGAAATGATTTTTTTTTTTTTTGTAGTTAAATAGATTGATGTGAGAGAAAAAATTGATTAATTGATATGTAGGATGTGAGAGGAGAGATGAAGGGGAAAAAAAAAAAGTGAATGATTAATGTATAGTGGGGAAAAAAAATCATTTTAAATTTTTTTAAAAAAATTTCAACCAAATAAATTTTTAAATTTTTTTAAAAAAAAATTCTCTCAAGACACAACTCAGACAAGCCTAAAGTTTAGGCAACAATGTATTTTATTACCAAGAGACCCTATGAAAGAACCCGGATATGAGGCGTAAGCACAGTAATGGAAACTGCCACTGGTAATCGATTAAGACTTATCATGTTAAAGGCCTATCATAATGTTCTTTCCTATACCACATTTATTCGGTGATTGTGGGGAATAGCTACATGGTGCTCTTGTTGTGTTTTCATTGGTGGTACGATTTTGTCTTGATTATAAAAAAGGAAAATGAGTTGAACCCCCTCAAAGAGGCACCCCTTTGACCCCCTCTCTCTGATTGGCCAGTTTTTCTTCTTTTTTTTTTCTTTTTTTCCTTCTCCTCCAATCACCATCCGCCACGTTCACCATCCGCCACGTGTGTGTGGGAGTGGTGGGGTGGTGATTGGAGGGGGTCTCAATCACTTCCCTTATAAAAAATAACAAAATGTATGATATTAGGTAATTAGTGAGAAATATTGTTAAGTGGTCCCTTCAATCACCAGATAATTTTTCCTATGTCTAAGGGCTTATTACTTAGAAATAAATGAGAAATACAAATATGTCCTAACCTAAGTGCATAGAAGGGACAATGCAAAATCAAAGAAACCACCAATTAAACCAAACATAAAACCTTGGACCTTAAGGAACTTTTGCGCGTACTGCTGTGTCCAAATTGATTTTTTTGTTTTTTTTAATTTTTAACAGGCATGTCTAAATTGATTGGTAACTTTTAGTCTCCGTATGCGTGGAGATATTTAATGAGAAAAGAAAAGAAATAGGGAGGGCAGAAAATCTTTTCACTTGTGTTGATGGTTAAGTAGATAAGTAATTATGAGAGATTATGAGAAAATGATTCTCACTAAACTTAGGAATTGGGTATAATGAAAATTTTCTAAAATATAAAAATTACCCTTATGAAAAATATAACTTATTAGTATGAAATCTTATTTTGGTAAAATGAAATATAACACTTTCCTTTATTTTTTTCTTATTTACTCTATCCAAACAATAAAGGTGAGAAACCATATTCTCTTTTCTTTTATTCATCCAAACATAATGGTGAGAAACCATAATCATTTATTTCTCACCTCACCTCACGGAAACTCATTAGAGAATATAAGAAAGTGAAAGAAAAAGAAAAAGAAAAAGAAAAAAATTAAAAAATTAAGTATTTGTTTAGAAAGAGAGTCCAAAAAATGTAACAGAAACTCATATTTCCTGTACAACTCAAACTAGCATATTAGATACTCTATTGATTTCAAGCAAATTTCACAAGGAAATTTGAATATTCCCACAAAACTTAGCACGTTTATTTTGGTTTCTCTCTTTACCATCTTCTCTCCATAACTCCCTCTTATGCGGATTGATCTGATATATATTTTCATGTTTCCCTCTACAAAATCAACTGAGTACATTGAAGATATTGTATCTCTCTTATTTCTCTCCCTCAATATTTCATCGTCTCCAGTTGCAAGAACTCAGAGCATTGTTGATTTTTCTTTTCAACAAATCAACAATTTCAGCTTTGTGATTCACTGTGAGATATTTTCTTTCTTTACTCTATACTATTGTATTCTTAGTCTTCTTAACAGAATCAATGTCTTATCTTGAATATTTTTGAAAATATATTTCTGTTATTATTTATTTATTTAATTTTTTTGGTGGTGAAATAGCTATCATAATTTTTGGATTTGTTTTCATTTTTATTTGAATTGATAAGTGGGTGAAGTTTAGGATATTTATGTTAGGCTTTTTGTAACAACCCCGACCCATGATTCACGTTAATCCATGCTTAATTATGCCTAACAAGGAATTTAAGTGAAGTTTTATATAATATCTTACCTTATTTATGTTTATATCTGTTTAACGTAAAAAGATCTGTTCATGTTTTCGTTTCAATTGCGAATTGAAAACCTTACCGGCATCCGATTCAGAAATTGACTTGATTTATAGGCTAATTAGACTATTTAAAATTTTATGGTAACTTTGATTGAAAATTAGAATTAAGCATAGTTAATTAACCTTAGTCATATGTGATTAGACTAACTTAATCACACCTTATAAATAGCTTTAAATAAGCTTATGAGCTCATTTATATACACATTTGGTTGAGAATTGAGGAAGGAGGGAGGAGAGTTCAACATTTAGAGCGAGAAATAGGAGATTTGTAGAGAATTGGTGGAAGATTCAAAGATTGGAGCCATAATACACTTGAATTCACACATTAGGTATGAAATTCTTCCTAAATTCTTAGAATCAAGCCATGTAGAAGTTGTATTCATCAAGGTTTTGAGTTTATTTGCATGGAATTGTTAAATAGAAGCTTCAACAACCTGGAATTTGGAAGTTAAGAGTTAAACATGTACATGCATGCCTAATTTGAGTTAGAATTCATGAAATTCATACATGCATGGCACAATAATACCTCATTTTGGAGAATTCTTCATGTTTCTCATGTCACTTGATTATGTTTTGAAGAAATATACATCCAATTTGAATTAAACTTATTTTATAACTTGAAATTGAAGTTTAATGGTTAAGAATTTGCCATGATTTCGAATAGATGGTTTCAAATTGGAAGTATTTTCATGTTATATGATGATTTTCCATGTTTTTGTACCAAAAATATAAGATTTAAAGCTTTGAATATCATGTTTGAACTTCAAATACAGTTCTGAAAATTCTAAAATTTGGTTTGTCCACTCAAGTGAGGAAAGCCTCACTCAAGCGTGAAAATCCAGCTCCCAGCAGTTTTGCAAAATTTTGCAGTCTCCTCGAGCGACCAAAGTGGTGCTCGAGCGAGGACCCCTTTTTTCTCAATCTTCCGCTCGAGCGACCGTCGAGCGGGAATTTCATGTAACCAGTACTTTTGCAGACCGCTCGAGCAACAGAAGTTACGCTCGAGCGACCACCTTTGTTTGTGAAACCCCCGCTCGAGCGAAGGAAGTTACGCTTGAGCGGAGACCCTGCTTTCAGCTAATTTTGAGAAACTCTTTTAAGTGCATATTTGCATCCTCATGTCATTCCAACCATTCCTAGGCCATAATTAAGACTCAATAAGAGGTTAAGACTTAGAACACACTAAAAAAATGAAACGAAAGAAGTTATGTATCAACTGGGTGTTTGTTTCATTATATGTATCTATTACATTTGGTGTAGGTCACGCGCTGTGAGCGATTGATCCATTTGTTTACTGCCAAAGTTATCTGTGAGTAATAACTCTGTAAAGTTATGTTTGACTTTAATTATTTTATGATGATACGAAATGATCAGTTTTCTGAAACACTATGTTTCGTATGAATGAATGAATGTCCAAATTTCTTAAGAAGTAATTGTGGTGTTCTTAGTAGAGGCCTTCGCCCAGGGACATAATACTGTAACTTATGGTCATGAGGCCCTCGCCCGAGGGAGATAATACTGCGGCACAGGCCCTCACCCGAGGGAAAAAATACCGTGGCTCATGTATAAGATATGTTACCCAGTACCGGAGGTTCCTTTTTAGAACTTGATATGCTTGACCAAAGAGACATGTTTATGCTAATAGATGTTCTACGTATGATTTGAATATGAATAAGACTATGACTCTAATTCTGCTATAAACCTCATTATGATTCTGATTTGCTATGAGATTTGAAATATGTACTGGGCATTCATTAAAATCTTTACTCTGTTATTATTCACTAGGCTTTCGCTCACTATTTATATTATGTATGTAGGTGACCAGGTGCGTGACCAGATCCAAAGTTGAGGATCTAGTATCTCTATTTTATCAGCCAGCCGTTGTGCCTCCGAGAAGGTTCCATTTTGTGCGCAAGTCAAGTCTAAATGCCATAAGTTAAGACCTTGTATTTTTAGTAATATGAACAAGTCTTTTGTTATGTGTATATTAAGCTATACCTTTTTTTGGCTACGACTGTATTAAATGTGACGAAGATTACTGCATTTTGATGCCACGTGTATGTAAACATATTACATAAGGTTTTAAATTTATGTCTCATGTATATCTGCACGGCTCTATGGACTATGTATTGTTGGTATATTTGCTTCCGCAGCCCCTAATTGTATGTTATTTTGTTTAGAGGCCTTTGGTAATCCAAGGATTACTAGCTGGTTACGACGCTAAACCTATAGGGGCGGGTTTGGATCATGACACTTTTTCTATTATCTATGTATAAGATTCATTGCTGTAAATTGATGATGGATTTCAATGAATAATTTTTCTTGGGTTTAGCAATGATGGAATTCTTCTGTTAGTTTGAGTTTGGATTTGTTCTATTGGATTTGTTTTATAAAATTATTTTTAACTTTCTGTTTTGTCATTATATATATAGGTACCAACTGTTTGAAAAAATTCCTGAACCAGTATGACATCATATGTTCTTATAAGATAAATCAAGGTTGTATGATTTATGTACTGAATATTTGCCCCTGTGTGTACTAATAAAAAGGGCACATGTGTCTTCTCATTTTATACCATAAGAATATGATTAATCTGGTAGTTGTTCAATTGTCTTGCTCTTCCCAAATATGTTTAGTTAATCATGCATCCTGATAATTTTTATTTTTTATTTTTAAATTTTTTGGGTTCTTTTCTATTTTCCACTTGTTTTTGCCAATTCCTATTCTAACTAGTTATTTACTCCTCTCTTTCCCCCCCCCCTTTTTGGGTGCATTTTGTTAGTGAGATGTCCTTATGTACTTATCACATCAATTTCATATTTGTAGATGGATACAAATGTCGAATATGATGAAGAACTTACATTTTTAGATGCACAATTTGTTGGCGTCTTAGCATATGCATATGGTGCATACTACTTAGACTACGATAAGAGACCACCACAAAATTGTTATCTGACGCAACATGAATTTGTGGGTGAGGTAACACAAAGTGATGAGGATTGTCACGACTTACTACGAATGAACATAGAGTGTTTTCAAAAATTTCTTGCACATAGTATCACACAATGTAAAGAACCGTCCTGCAAAACGCTACTATAAGCAGTCTGGTGAAACTGTGTCCTAATATTTTCATATGGTCTTAGATGCAATAATAAGCATGGAAGATAATTATTTAAAGCAACCTTCAATTCAAATGAAGACACCTAAAGAGATACATGACAATCCTAGAATGTGGCCATATTTTAAGGTAGAATCTTATTATATAGAATCTTATTATATAGAATCTTATCAACAATATTTTGAACTTATTATGTATTTTTAAGCCAAATGTTATTCTTTTGTAGGAAAATACTATCTTGTTGATGCGGGATTTTCTTTACTAAAGTATTACATTACCCCATTTCGAAGTATAAGACACCATCTAAATGAAATTAGAGGTCGAGTGCCCACCACAGCAAAAGAATTGTTTAACCATAGGCATTCGTCACTATGAAATGCAATTGAGCGAGCTTTTGGGGTATTAAAAAAATGATTTAGAATTTTGGTTGAAGAGCCAATGTTTAGCTATGCAACGCAAAGGAAGTTAGTAATTGGTGCTTGTATCATGCACAATCATATTCGAGGAGTGAGGCCATATGATCCACTTCTCAATATGTTGATAGAGAGATTAACAATGAAACTGCTCCTATTCATGGTATCGTTGACGTACAATTAACTAGGGCTGAAGATGGAAGAGAATGAAAGAGAATTCAAACGCAAATAATGAACGAAATGTGGGCCGATTTTGGTTGAAGACATCAATAGAATTCTCGAAAACTATATGTTTTCTTATTTGTAGATAAATCTAAATGGTAGTATTTCGTTGTTTTCTATTATTATTGAACAATGGTAGTATTTTGTTGTTGAACTCTAAATATTAATAATATAAATGCTAGTCTTTTTCAATTGTAGTATTCTTAGTTGTGTAATGATTTGATCTTATGTTATTGGTTAAGCATACTTGTGAGTTGTTATTATAGGAAATGGAGGCATATGAGTCTCAATAGCCCATAGGAGATGGGAAGAAAAGAGAAAAGAACATAGTTTGGTCTAAAGAGATGGATAAGTGTCTTACTTTAGAACTAGTACATCAAGCTAATGAAGGATACAAAGTGGATAAGGGCTTTAAAGATCAAGCTTATATTGCAGCTTGTTCATCTTTAAATTCAAGCTTTAACCTTTCTCTCAGTCGCGAGCATTGTGTTAATCGCTTAAAAACTATCAAGAAAAAATATAGATTGGTACATGAAATGTTGAGTAAAAGTGGATTCTCTTGGAATCCAATGACAAAAATAGTTGAATGCAGTGATCAAGTATGGACTACATATGTTGCTGTAAGTATTTTTTTTAATATAAAAAAAATATAAATGTGCTTACGAATTGACTATTGGTTATATACATAAAAATCATGGTGGTATATGACTTATGTAGGCAAATCCAGATGCAAAAGGATTACGAGGTAAGAAGATTAAAATGCTTGATGAATTATCTATTGTGTGTTGCAATGATCAAGCTACCGATGAATGGGCGTGTTCTGCCAAGGATGTAAATGCTAACTATTCAAAGAAAACAAATAATAGTGAGGATGAGTATTCACATCTCTTCGATCCCATTGACAACAATGTGGCAAACGACGTGGGGTGACATAGAAGGAAATGAATTTGGAACTCAACAAGGCAGTACTAGTAGCCAAAAACCTACACTTGGCAAGCGCAACCACAGATCTACAAAGCTAGTGACAGAGCAGTCAAAGAAGCCAACAGGTGCGGAGCTTGTTACTGAAACAATGGTTGCCATTGTAACTAACATGGTGAGATTGGTTGATGCATATGAGAAGAGTAAGCCTTGCATAGATTATTTGGAACTTTACAAGGCCGCAATGGATGTTGAAGATCTTGATATCAATAGTCGAATGACTGCTTTTGAATACTCGAACGGAGATCCTATAAAAACCAGAGCATTTCTGATATATCCTCAAGATATGAGCTACTTGTTTTTAATTTGACGACTATCACAAGGCGGTTCGAATGGTATTCAATAATGGCTAGGAGTTGAAGTTGGATAAAGTTTCTAAATTATAGGTTCATGTCTTTGTTGATATTCTTCTTTCTTAGTAATTTGTTTGGTTCTGGTGATTGACTCTATTTGGTGTTTGTCTTAGGTAGGTGTGAGATTTTAGTTACTAGTATTCTAAGTATGAGCTTGAGCTACATTTTTAAAATTTAGTCATGTTTTTTAATCCTTATTAACTACTGCTATAAACTCTTGGGTGTTGGACTTTAGTTCTTTGTATGTTTTCCAAAATAATTAGTATTAATATTAGGAAGATTTATAAGTAAATTCTAGTGGTCACTGTTTTTTTGATGGCACAAAGATGAATAGTCATTAAAAAAAAAAAAAAAAAGAGCTTGTCATTTTGTATTTTGAAGTAAGTTAATCACAATTTTCAAGAGAATAGTTCTTGCTACATGTTTATTTTCCAAAATCTGTGTTCTTTGGGTCTCAAAAACAATAATTAGCTATTGCATTGATTTTAAATGAATAAAATTTATTTCATTTGTTAGTATTTTTGGTTAAAGCAAAAATAACGGAATAAATAAATAATATTGGATGACATGTATGCCAATTGATGCTTGGCGATACTTTTTTTTCAAATTAAGTTGCTATATTGACATATTTTTTTGACTGTTGTTTTGTTAAAGAAGAACCAGGGCAATTTAGGAAAATAGAATAATTTTTCTACAACTTTCATGCTTTCCAAACTAGATATTGAAAATTTTCCGTCATTTTCTTACATAATTTTCTTCCTAATCAAACACATGCAAGAAATAAATTTTCATTTCCCTTTCTTTTCTTTCACTTCACTTTCTATTATATGTTTTTTTCTAATCAAACAAAGCCTTAGAAAAATGCTATCATATGAGTAGAGCCATCCCTGGCCCAAGGCAAGCAAGGTGCCTTGGGCACTAAATTTCGCCAAATTTGAAGGGCTTTCGAATGATTTTCTTTCTTATAGTGTTAGTAGATTTAAAAATAAAGGTCTAAACTAACTCATGTAATTTCACAATTTTTATTAAAGGTTTTTAGAGCATATCCAACTCTTCATTTTTTTCCAATTTAATTTGATTATAGATTTGAGTAAAAAGCTTGATTTGATATGAATTTTTCTAACTCTTTTATCAAATTTTCATAAAAATCTTTCTAAAAATTCTCTTCATATTCTAAGTTTCCCTTTTCATCAAATTTGATGAAAAAAATTATCTTCAATGTCTTTTTAAATTTTCATCAAATTTAAATTTGATGAATTCTAAATTTGATAAAAAAATGTTTCTCTCTTAAGACCAAATCAAAAAATATATATATTTATAGATTTCACTCATTATAGGTATTACTCGCATTACATTAATTTTGAATTTATATTATATATTTTTAGAGTAAAAAATTTAAATAAAAGATTTTTTATTATTATTTATACATGAAAGTCCCCAATTTTAAGACTCTACGTTGGGTCTCGAAAATCTCAGGTACGGCCCTACATATGAGACATTTAGTATAAATTCTAGTAATTTTTTTAGAGTGTCTAGTATTACTTTGTTTAACAACTCTTTTAAGTTGTTTTATTAGTTCATTAAATAATTAAGTGATTTGAAATTAATGATTTTCAAACTAACTTTTTTTTTTTTTTACTACTAATTGGCTCATTTTTAGTTAGTAATTTGTTAGTTAACTCCCAAATGAATCATATCTAGTTCAGTTCGAATATTTTTTTACACTCTTAGGCCTCGTTTGGTATGTAACACCTTTAGTCTGAAAGTCAAAAAGTTACTAAAAAAGTCAAAAAACCTATAACATATACCAAAAAATTAAAGATTTCATTTTCTCTCTACTTTTTACACATATTTTTGTAAAAAATTAAAAAATTATTCCAAATATACTAATTGTTTCACCTCATATTTTAACAAAAAAATTAAAAAATTACTAAAATAACATATTCCCAAATAAGACCTCAGTTGAAAAGCTAAGAAATGAGTAGTCAATTTTTTTGTAAAGACAAAGAAAGACAGATTAATTATTTTTCTCATTAAAGATATCTGTTATAAATTTTTATTTTTTTATTTTTTTAATATTGATGGCGTGATTGTTGGTGTTGTAATTGTGAGCATATGCTGTTGAATTCACAAATAATTTTCTATCAATTTAAGAAAAAACAATAATAATAATTACTAATCGAGAATGATGAAACATTACTCAAAAAAACACTTCGGCTTGGTTTAGTTGGTCTCAAGAGATGGCATTTTTTGAGAAACAATTTAAAAAAAAAAAAATTGGTTGAATTTTTTGAAATAAAAAAAATTAAAAAATACTTTTCTCTCTATTATAAATCAATTAATAATTTTTTCTCTTATACACATCTATTGAACTATAAAAAATTAAAAAAAATAAAAAAATAAAAAAAAATAAATTATTCCTAACTCCAAAATTATTTTCAAAACATACAACCAAACAAAATTTTAAATTTTGTAAATTCTTTTTAGAAAATTATTTTTCAAAATTATTTCATAAATACAAACCAAACAAGGCCTTCATATTTGAAGAGTGTGGTTTTTAGCTAAAAAGACAAAAGGTCATTGTATACTATCACGCCACTCTCTCTAATTTTTTTTCATATCTTTTTATAAAAAAATAAAAATTTAAATAAATTACCCAATCCCCAAACGGGCCTTAGTAACTTTCACACCACATTTTCATGTTTCTTGAAAATTGTCATGGTTATTTGGTTGCGTTCTCATATTATTTTTGGGTTCGTTTGGGGGATCGGGGCTATTTTACTCATTAAAAAATAAAATAAGTTTTTTAGTTTAATAAGTTAAAATGTTACATTCAAATTATAATCATTTCATTTTTTCTCTCACAAAAGTTTAAAAAGTCAAAAAATATATCATAAACGAAACTTTTTAGCACCAGGCTAAAATAACTAAAAAATCAAAAAGCCAACCCACATTCCAAGCGAAGGCATTGAGAAATTACATATAGGTGAAGGATTGGGAAAAAAAATTATCAACACATGGAGTGCAAATGAAAGATTATGAAGATGCAAGTAAAATTGTGCAAAATACCGCCCAATCTACTAAAATTGCACCGATTTGCATCAATTCACACCGTTCTATCTGCTAATCGTGGATTAAACTTTAAATTTATAGTCCGCCTTCCAAATCACTCCGCTCCACTATAATTAATACATATATATTTTTAATCTCTAATGAAATATCAAAGTAAAAATGAGTGTGAGAGAGATTTAATACGTGAAATTTATTAAAAATTAATAGTTATATATATGAAACATATTATGTAAAATTAGTTTGTGTTATATATATATACTAGCGTATACCCGTGCCTAAATGCACGATATAAATAATGTTGGAATTAGAATATAATTGTAATCCCAATACTATTTAATAAATTATCAATTATCAATTATGAATTATTAATTTAATATAAATGTAATCTCAACCCTTTTTGTCTTAAAAATAAATTATCAATTATAGTGATTAAATTATGCCTTCAACCTGAAAATTCCTGTTTCTATACTAAGAAAATGGCATAAGCAAACAACTATTTTTGAGTTTTGGTGACCTATCACGAAACAAACTCAAAAACATCTAAGTTCACAGAAGCTGTGGGAGTTTCCAATTAAATGAAGAGATTTGAAATTAAACTTTATAAGAACATAGTCGAGTTTTCAAATGAAATTCAATTAACACCCAAATAGTTTTATTTTAGTTTAATTACGTGTTTATGCGATCTTTAAGTTGATGTTATGTTATTTCATTTACAGTCAACAATAAAGCAAAAAGTTTTGCGAGCAGGTAAAGAACAAAGTTTTCCAACAATCAAAGCGCATCCAAACTTAATGTTTGAACTTTCAAGGAAGGAGAAAAAAAAAAGCTTGAAAACAAAAACCTATATGGTAAATTTTTGGCAAATTTTCTACAGACAACCTAGAAATAAAACGTCCACTGTTTAATTGAGATTGAGATGTACTCAACTCCAAATTACATTATTATTAACTCCAAAATTGGACATATCTCTATAAAGTTACATGTCAAATAGAAGGTTGACTAATGCAAAAGGGAAGCACTGTGTTATATATTATGTAAATTAATGTTATATATTATGTAAATGTTTGATAATTAGTTAGAATGTTTTTCTATTCACCAATTCGTCCAAAATCACCCAAATCGCGATTTTGCCAATCTACCATTCGATATATAATTTTATTCTCAAACTGTTTGAACTGCACTGCGCATACCCCTAGATACAAGTGTCACTTAGAGCATCCGTAACAGTTTCTTTATAATAGCAAAGATTAATTATTCAGAAATCCTTCCCCAGCAGATCCCTTATCTAACCCATCAAATATAAGTGTTGCTATAGTGATTCTTTATTTGTAAAGAGCTATTATAGCTCCCTCATAACTCATAAATTCTTATTTTATTTCGTTGAATGCACACAGGGGATGTCCTCCTGGATGTCCCTTTAGATGTTTCGTAAGTGTCCTGTAGCTGAAGAAAGAAAATGTCCAAAATTAGCCTGACTGGTTGACCGACTGGTGTCCACCATTCTTTGTTTTCCTCTGCAACTTTGTTGTTGCTTGTTGATGTTTGGTTGGCATGTGTTTTTATTATTAAATTTTTTTTAAAAGTAATTAAAAAGATTATTTTAATAGAATAGAGAAACAATAGAGAGTTTGTCAGAAAAAATAGATAAAAAAATAATTTTTAAAATAAGAAATGAATTTTTTAATAATATTTTAAGATAAAATTTAGGTAATCTACTAGGGAGTTTGCTAGAAAAAATACATATTTTTTTTTTTTTTTTTTTTTTTTTTTTTTTCCAAAGTAATCATCTTAATTTAACTACATGTTTTAATCGTATTTGTTTCAAAAAAATGAATGACAAATATAATTTCAAGAATAATCTTTCATTTTTTGTAATACAAATTGG